TTGAGAGTCAAAGTCTGCATTTTATATTTCTAAATGGTGTAAGAATCCAGTCAGGTACCGACATTTTCTGCAGGTCCTCAAGGTGTACTTTAAGGGGCACATCAGTTCCCCTGTTTTCTAGTATGTTCATTTTTCCCCTATAATCTACCTTCTCCACAATTATCACATTTGCTCTGTCTACTTTTTTTAAAGTGAAGTCCAGGACCTTTCCTTATTTCAGAGTAAATGCGATAGTAATGATGTACAAGGTAGATTCTTTCTTTCAACACACCGGCCGTATCCCACCGAGGCAGGGTGGCCCAAAAAGAAAAACGAAAGTTTCTCTTTTTAAATTTAGTAATATATACAGGAGAAGGGGTTACTAGCCCCTTGCTCCCGGCATTTTAGTCGCCTCTTACGACACGCATGGCTTACGGAGGAAGAATTCTGTTCCACTTCCCTATGGAGAACAAGGTAGATTATAGGTGAAAAATAAACACGATATTAGTAGACAGGGAAACTCACGCGCCTCTTAACTTCTCTTAATTTGTCAAGGTGTGTTGTGTATATTACCAAGTCGAGGGTCACCAGGTCACCAGGTCACCAGGGAGGGTGGAAGGTCATACACAACGCAACGCACATCCCCAGTCATTTATCGACCTCTTCTATAGTACCATCGACCTTTAGGGGTCGGTACTGACCACTTTAGGGAACTCAGTGTCATAAACCCAGCCTCGAGTACCTCAGTGATACCAGAAAGTTATAACATCACAGCTGTCAAGGGTAGAGGAGCTGCTGATAGTTGAGTGATAAATGTTATGGTAGTTGCTGGTAACTGAGTGATGACCAGTGTGAGGTTGGATGCTGGTAGTTGAGTGATGACTGGTGTGATAAGATAAGATAAGATTTCGTTCGGATTTTTAACCCCGGAGGGTTAGCCACCCAGGATAACCCAAGAGAGTCAGTGCGTCATCGAGGAGTGTCTAACTTATTTCCATTGGGGTCCTTAATCTTGTCCCCCAGGATGCGACCCACACAAGTCGACTAACACCCAGGTACCTATTTGCTGCTAGGTGAACAGGACAACAGGTGTAAGGAAACGTGTCGAAATGTTTCCACCCGTCGGGAATCGAACCCGGGCCCTCCGTGTGTGAAGCGGGAGCTTTAGCCACCAGGCCACCGGGTTGGATGCTGGTAGTTGAGTGATGACTGGTGCGAGGTTGGATGCTGGGGTTCATCTCCTGCCACACTCACCATCAGTAAGGAACGCATAACGTCATAATAACTATCACTAACATGTGTAGGGTGGCAACATGACTTACGAAATCGTAATAAAATAAACAAATCAGTGATCAGTTGGCGTTTGAACCCCATGGCTGGGTAGTGGAGGCCCTCCAGCTGGTGGAGGCCCTCCAGCTGGTGGAGGCCCTCCAGTTGGTGGAGACCACTGGGCTGCAGTCCATGCCTCAATCCAGCCTTGAATATGGTGATAAGTTAAACTTATAGACAACATTCCTTTATACCACGTCATGCTAAATGTCTGTATTGTTTATTCTGCTTGTGAAGTAACTTGATACAGTACACAACACTTTGGTCCTTTCTGAGAGATTCATGGCGCCTAGAAACCTTCTCAAAGATTCAGCTAACAAGTGTCCATCAAAGTGTAGGAACCATTGATACCGAGGTTAGGTTAGGTTTGTCAGGAAGCAGGACAAGTGTTTCCTGACGCTTGTTTTAGTCATGTAATGACCCGCAGCTGGAACTTTTGGTCATCTGACCGAAGCCTTGAGCTGGCTTTCCCCTCCACCCCTTTAATTACCATTGGTGGCCATAGAGACGACTTTTAACTGAAGTGAAAAGTGAGAGGGTAAATACAGAGAGGAATCAACAATTAATAATATTTATTGCACCATTGACAACGTGTAGTGTGGCGGTGGGAACAAGGTATAAGGCTGAAAGTGCTCCCAGGCAGGTTACACAGGTGGTGGTGGTCCCTTATTCAGGTGCTTCCAGACAGGTTACACAGGTGGTGGTCCCTTCTATTCAGGTGCTTCCAGGTGGGTCACGCAGGTGGTGACTATCTTGTCAGGGGGACATGTGCCAATATGTAGGTGACGCATGCTGAGTCAGACTACTGACTTCTACGACACCTTATTGTGTAGCATAGGGTAGCCTGTCCTGTAGCCTAGAGTAGTCTGTCCTGTAGCCTAGGGTAGCCTGTCCTGTAGACTAGGGCAGCCTGTCCTGTAGCCTGTCATGTAGACTAGAGTAGTCTGTCTTGTAGCCTAGGGTAGCCTGTCTTGTACTCTAGAGCAGTCTGTCCTGTAGCATAGAGTTGCCTGTTCTGTAGCCCAGAGTAGCCTGTCATGTATGAAAGGGTAGCCAGTCATGCAGCCTGTTTTGTAGCCTAGGATAGTCGGTCGTGTAGCCTAGGGTAGCCAGTCATGTAGCCTAGAGTAGCCTGTCATGTAGCCTAGGAGACTCAGTCATATAGTCCAGGATAGTCAGTCAAGTAGCCTAAGGTAGCCTGTTATGTAGCCTAAGGTAGCCTGTCATATAAACTTGAGTAGCCTGTTATGTAACCTAGAGTAACCTAGAGAAACCTTTCATATAGCCTAGAGTAACCTATTCTGTAGCCTAGCGTCGTCTGTCATGTAGCCTAGAGTAGCCTATCATGTAGCCTAGGGTAGCCTTTTCTATAGCCTAGAGTAGCCTGTCATGTATCCTAGGGTAGCCTGTCATGTAGCCTAGAGTAGCTTGTCATGTAGCCTAGAGTAGCCTATTATATAGCCTAGGGTAGGCATTCAAGTAGCCTAGAGTAGCCAGTCACGTAGCCTAGGGTAGCCAGTCATGTAGCCTAGAATAGCATGTCATGTAGCCTAGAGTAGCCTGTCATGTAGCCTAGGATAGTCTGTTACGTACCCTAGGAGCCTGTCTTATAGCACAGGGTAACCTGTCTCGTAGCACAGGATAGCCTGTCATGTAGCTTAGGGTAGCCTATCTTGTAGTCTATGGTAGTCTGTCATGTAGCCTAGAGTAGCCATTATCAAGTCATGGGATGATAATCATGCACAAAGCTTCACCGGTTTCCATCTGCAACTTGTAAACCAGTAGTTGCAACTCTGGTACCGAGACTTCTGAGAGCGTATTTGTTGACCGTGTCTCCCTTACGGGTATTATAGGCTGTTCAACACATTTCTGTAAACAAGACAGACATAACAGACAACCCGTCACTTGTGGTGGCAGCGGTGGCGCTATAGTTTATTTTTCTGCTTTTCTGTCCTCACTGTCCACTGCTCACTGCACCTGTTAACCCTTTCGGGGCCTAGTTCCTAGGCCTTTTGTGTATCCATATGCTCTTGCGCTACCCACCACAGGATGGATATTGGGTGCACAATAAACTAGCCACTTCGGTAGCAAAATCTGAAAAAAATCTAATCTGTCCACTTCTTAGCAGAGTAGTCTGTCATGGACAGAATAGCCTGTCACTGTATCCCCAGGTAGCCTCTCCTGTACCCAGGCTTGTTGTTCAACCTATTATAGTTTACCTTTTAGCCTAGGGTAGCTTGTCATGAAGCATAGGGTAGCTTGTTAGGTAGCTTAGAGTAGCTTCTTACATAGCCTTGGGTAGCTTATTTTAGGCTAGTACAGCCTTTAATGTTACTTAGTGTAGCCTATGTTGTCTAAAGCAGTCTACTGTGTTGCTTACAGTAGCATGTTGTCAAATCTTGGGTCATCTATCACGTCACTGTGTAGTCTAGGTTAGTCTGTTCGTGCCTAGAGTAATGCTCTGTGTATCCTAGAATAGTCTGTAAGATAGCCTGTCATATAGTCAAGAGCAGATGAAGCCTGTCGTGTAGACAAACACAGCCTACTCAGCACAGCACGCGCTAGGCTAGCAACTGATCTAAAATAATCAACCCTTTTTTACCTTTGTTAGTTAGTCCATTAGGGTAATGCACTCTAGTTTACATATAAATAAGGGTTATACGTATCTAAATTTCTATGATACTTGGGTTGTGTGTACTAGGTCCCCAGACAGTCAGGTCACTAGAGTTTGAGGCTCTGACCTTAGTTACTACAAGTCAGCAGCCAGGTCACTTGAACAAGACGAACTGACTCTAGTCCCTTACAGTGTAACTAGCAGGTCATTGAGTCACTTGGAACTGACCCTGGTTGCTACTAGGTCATCAGGAAGTGACGCTAGTTGCTACAAGGTAACAAGTAGTCCACTAGGCCATCAGGAAGTGACCCTGGTTGCTACAAGGTAACAAGCAGACCATCAGAGCACCTGGAAGTGACTCTGACACAAGCCACAAACTTCCCACACTGGAAGCTCTCATCAAGTCACCAGTCTGATATAATTTTGTATTTTTCCTCCACAAGTCAAACTTGTTTTCCTTGTCTTGTTATTTACATATGGTGGGAGTTAGAGTGGAGTGTTGAGTGGAGGAACGGTAGGTGCTAGTCCACAGCCCACTCTTGTTCTACTGATACGAGCTGGCTTGGCATTAACCCTGGCATCTACAAGCATTGTAGCTTCTACCTGAAAGCCCACTACTTGGGCTGGGGTCAAGGAAGGACAGCCTTGACCTCACCGCTACACCTATCTACCCTATACATGTGTGTGTACCTTCAGCTGACATTGCTTGGTGTCACGTCAGTTTCCTTACACATTTTTGTCTTCTGTTGGCTTAAAAAACTCCATCTCATGCGTGTAGTCCATTGTCTCGAGAAATTAATTTTGTTGACATTATACACACTAATTCCCTTGTCCCGGAGACCCGGTCTGGGTATTCTTATACACAAATTAAATCAAGAAAGTTTAAAAAAATCTCATTGTTTCTGGCTTCGAAAAATACATAGACATACTTGGACGTAAATGCTATCTCCAGTCTTTATTATATATATATATATTATATTATATATATATATATATATATATATATATATATATATATATATATATATATATATATATATATATATATATATATATATATATATATATGTAATGTACACCAGATTATAAATTACTGAAACAAGTTCCTGGAGGTTACTGTGAATACTCTGGGGATACTATGGCAGTATGGTAGAGGACAGGTCTCTGACCTCCACACCCTCTTTCTCAGTGTGAGGGCGTCCCATCTTTCTCAGTGTGAGGGCGTCCCATCTTTCTCAGTGTGAGGGCGTCCCATCTTCCTCAGAGAGCGTTCTCATGGCTTCTTTGGTGGTGGTCGTCGTAATAACACAGAATTAGCTCGTATATGTGACCACAGCTTCTACGATCATAATCCCTAGTACCATAGTTTCTGGAACTGTAGCCTCTGGTACCATAACCTCTGGAACTGTAGCCTCTGGTACCATAACCTCTGGAACTGTAGCCTTTGGGAATGTAGCCTCAGGAACTGTAGCCTCTGGTACCATAACCTCTGGAACTGTAGCCTTTGGGAATATAGCCTCAGGAACTGTAGCCTCTGGTACCATAACCTCTGGAACTGTAGCCTTTGGGAATGTAGCCTCAGGAACTGTAGCCTCTGGTACCATAACCTCTGGAACTGTAGCCTTTGGGAATGTAGCCTCAGGAACTGTAGCCTCTGGTACCATAACCTCTGGAACCGTAGCCTCTGGGAATGTAGCCTCTGGAACTGTAGCCTCTGGAACCATAACCTCTAGAAATGTAACCTTTGGAACTGTAGCCTTTGGGTCCACATCTTCTAAGACCATAGCCTTTAGGGTAATGTGACGAGACTTACACAGACTCCTGACTTACACAGTCTCCAGACTTACACAGTCTCCAGACTTACACAGTCTCCAGACTTGCACAGTGAGGGCAGGAAAACTCACATCACATGAAAGCCTTAGGCACACACACATACAAACATATGTGCACACGTTCTCCCACAGGCACACACAACAGAAAGACAACCGGAAACGCGCGCACACACACACACACACACACACACACACACACACACACACACACACACACACACACACACACACACACACACACACACACACACACACATGCAGCACATTAACACTGATACAAATGTAGCCTCAACATCTGTGCTTGACCGGTGACAGCTGCGGCGGACAGTCACCTGCCACAAGCGTTTATCTATCACAAGCGGCCATCTGCCACAAGCGGTCACCTGCCACAAGCGGCCATCTGCCACAAGCGGTCACCTGCCACAAGCGGCCACCTGCCACAGGCGGTCACCGGCCATACGTTAACGGCTCTTCAAGAGGTAAACATGAACACTCCACATTAAGACTACACTTAACATTACTGGAAGACTCTGGATTCTGTTGTTTAAAATCACTTGTCTGTTTTTCTTAATAAATCTATAGACGCAACAACAGTAAACTACAAATATTTTTTATACATCTAAATACATATTTTTTACTTTTCTATCTCTTCTATAAACAGTTTGTTTCACATATATTTTGATACATTTGTTTAGACTTAGAACTTTGAAAACGAAAGTGACACTGGTGGTTCAGTGCCAGGGAGAGGCACTGGCAACCGCCAGTGCCTCTCCCTGGCACAGCTAGGCGTGACAGCTGGACGCTACAGTGCTAAATAATAATACAGTGAGACAATAAGTATACGTGCTCGCTCGTCCGTGCAGAGTGCACGGCACCTGCCTCTCTCTCTCTCTTTCAATAAATGACGTGCTGACCTCTGTCTTTTAGCACGTAGAGTATGCACGTCTGTCAGCGCCCTTGGTGTGCACGTCTGTCAGCGCCCCTGGTGTGCACATCTATCAGCGCCCCTGGTGTGCACGTTTCTCAGCATCCAGGTAATTCTAAATCAATATGATTAATGAAGATTGTTAGAGGCAGTGGATGGCAGGTGGTAACGAGCGAGCACGTATTGTAGGGTTATACATGAGTAAGGTGGCCACGGTAGCAACACTGACCCAGGCGACCAACACTAACAACGACCACTCTCAACATTGCTGCTGCAACACACTCAAGAGGCCTATACAAAATATAATGAAGTTGAGCTTGGTGGTTGAGAGGGTGGCGTAGGTAGGCTGGCCACCTGGGATCCAGTGACCCTATGATCTTATATCACAGCTAAAACACCACTGGTAACACACACAAACACAGACCAACAAGGCTTATTCCTTATATCAAAGCTTATTCCTTAGGTAGCACTAAAGATGGATTGGGCAAATACTTTTGTTAGTGGGTTTGAGAAGGACGTGTTTCTCCTTCCATGTGTTCTTATATTCTTAACAGAGCCATGGTAGCTCTCCTAGTGGAAAAATAACCATAAATGCAGTATAATCCGATGCTATAAGCCCACACAGTGGGATTTATCAAGTCACAAACAGATCTGCCCGAGCAAAGACTACATGAGCATATATGTTGTGTGGAGTCAGGTGGAGAATGTTGGGTAGGCTGTATAAGAGAGGAACCAGGACGGGACCTCTAACACAGCCTACCCAACATTTTACACCTGACTCCACACTATATTCATGTACTTTTTACTCGGGTACATCTGTTGGTGACTTGATAAGGCCCACTGTGTGGGCGAAACGCATGTCTTTTTCCATCGAGTAGGTATTTTATACCATGTGTCTCCATCAGCTCTCCCAAGCTGTGTTAGCTCTGTACATGAATGGTATACAATATCGACAAGATGAAAATTAGACACATGAGCAACATCTGGGTATCCTTACTGTAGACGTTTCGCCCACCAGTGGCTTTATCAATATAAGGACATAATGTGAAGACTTATATACAAAAGATGAGGTAATGAGTCCCTCAACCTCGCAGGTGGTGAAGAGGAAGTGCAGCACGTTGTGAAGTTGGTGGTTCACAACGGTGCTGCACTTCCTTCAACACTTCGATGATCATCACCAACTTCAAGGTCGAGGAAGTGATTACTTAATGTTTTGTATATAAGTCTTCACATTATGACCTGATATTGATGAACTCACTGGCTGGAGGAAACGTCTACAGTAAGGATACCCAGATGTTGTACATGTGTCTAAGTTTTATATCAGCTCTCCCAAGCTATGTTAACTCTCCCAAGCTAAGTTAGCTCTCCCAAGCTATGTTAGCTCTCCCAAGCTATGTTAGCTCTCCCAAGCTATGTTAGCTCTCCCAAGCTATGTTAGCACCCACAAGGGCTACACGTAGCCTCAACTGCTGCTGGGTCAGCAACTCGCAGACAAAGAAGAGAATACTAATGTTAGTCATTTCCAGGAGTACCATTGTTGTAAACGACCTGAAGAATGATTGGTCAGACACTTGTGCAACACCTAGCTGTCTTTATTGTTGACACGTTTCACCTACAAGGTAAGCTTCTTCAGTCAAATACAGAGTCAGCAGGAGTAACAGTGAAGTAAAGAGGATGTAATCAGTCCATCAACCTTGGAGAAAAATTATTTGAGGTGATCAGTCCCTCAGCCTGGAGAAGAGTTCATCTCCATGGTCTGGAACTCAACTCTTTTCCAGGCTGAGGGACTGACCACCTCAACTACTTCTTCTCCAAGGTTGATGGACTAATTACATCATCTTTATTTCATTACCACTGTTGCCTTTGTATCGGACTGAACAAGCCTACCATGTAGGCGAAACATTTCCTCAATAAAGACACCCAGGTGTTGAACAGCTGCCTCACTCCTCAACTTGCCGGTTTTCTAAACTATTTAGGTACCATTATCGTACGATAAACTACTTACGATAATTTTACTAGTGTGTACATGTACTTAAATAAACGTACTCAACCAAGGACTAAATGTTCAGTTGAAATCAAGAAATAAATTTCACTGGAATGAAGTGATTAAAGCTTTCGACTCAAGGCTGACGGAGGACTGACTACCTTAAACGCCGCCTCTTCTTCCCCGTTCTCCTTTGTATGGACCGATGAAGCCACTGTGTGGCGAAACGTGTCCTCAAACGTTTCCACTTGACTGAGAATGGCAGACACTGACTGAGAGTGGCAAACACTTGACTGAGAGTGGCAGACACTGACTGAGAGTGGCAGACACTGACTGAGAGTGGCAAACACTTGACTGAGAGTGGCAGACACTTGACTGAGAGTGGCAGACACTGACTGAGAGTGGCAGACACTGACTGAGAGTGGCAGACACTGACTGAGAGTGGCAGACACTGACTGAGAGTGGCAAACACTTGACTGAGAGTGGCAAACACTGACTGAGAGTGGCAGACACTGACTGAGAGTGGCAGACACTGACTGAGAGTGGCAGACACTGACTGAGAGTGGCAGACACTGACTGAGAGTGGCAAACACTTGACTGAGAGTGGCAGACACTTGACTGAGAGTGGCAAACACTTGACTGAGAGTGGCAGACACTGACTGAGAGTGGCAAACACTTGACTGAGAGTGGCAAGACACTGACTGAGAGTGGCAAACACTTGACTGAGAGTGGCAGACACTGACTGAGAGTGGCAAACACTTGACTGAGAGTGGCAGACACTTGACTGAGAGTGGCAGACACTGATTGAGAGTGGCAAACACTTGACTGAGAGTGGCAGACACTGACTGAGAGTGGCAAACACTTGACTGAGAGTGGCAGACACTGACTGAAAGTGGCAGACACTTGACTAAGAGTGGCAGACACTGACTGAGAGTGGCAAACACTTGACTGAGAGTGGCAGACACTTGACTGAGAGTGGCAGACACTGACTGAGAGTGGCAGACACTGACTGAGAGTGGCAAACACTTGACTGAGAGTGGCAGACACTTGACTGAGAGTGGCAGACACTGACTGAGAGTGGCAGACACTGACTGAGAGTGGCAGACACTGACTGAGAGTGGCAGACACTTGACTGAGAGTGGCAGACACTTGACTGAGAGTGGCAGACACTGACTGAGAGTGGCAGACACTTGACTGAGAGTGGCAAACACTTGACTGAGAGTGGCAGACACTTGACTGAGAGTGGCAGACACTGACTGAGAGTGGCAGACACTGACTGAGAGTGGCAGACACTGACTGAGAGTGGCAGACACTTGACTAAGAGTGGCAGACACTGACTGAGAGTGGCAGACACTGACTGAGAGTGGCAGACACTTGACTGAGAGTGGCAAACACTTGACTGAGAGTGGCAGACACTTGACTGAAGAGTGGCAGACACTGACTGAGAGTGGCAGACACTGACTGAGAGTGGCAGACACTTGACTGAGAGTGGCAAACACTTGACTGAGAGTGGCAGACACTGACTGAGAGTGGCAGACACTTGACTAAGAGTGGCAGACACTGACTGAGAGTGGCAGACACTGACTGAGAGTGGCAGACACTGACTGAGAGTGGCAGACACTGACTGAGAGTGGCAGACACTTGACTGAGAGTGGCAGACACTTGACTGAGAGTGGCAAACACTTGACTGAGAGTGGCAGACACTGACTGAGAGTGACAGACACTTGACTGAGAGTGGCAGACACTTGACTGGAGTGGCGACACTGTACTGAGAGTGGCAGACACTGACTGAGAGTGGCAGACACTGACTGAGAGTGGCAGACACTTGTACTGATGAGTGGCAACACTTGACTGAGAGGTGGCAGACACTGGACTGAGAGTGACAGACACTTGACTGAGAGTGGCAGACACTTGACTGAGAGTGGCAGACACTGAGAGTGGCACAAACTCTGAGAGTGGCACTGAAAATGGCAGACACTGTACTCACACTCCTGACACTGTACTGACACTATGTACTCAGTGCTGACACTGTACTAAGTGTTGACACTGTGTACTGAGTGCTGACACTGCTGACATTAAATGCTGACACTGAGTGCTGACACTGTGTGATGATACTAAGTGCTGACACTGAGTGATGACACTAAGTGCTGACACTGAGTGCAGACACTGCTGACATTAAATGCTGACACTGAGTGGTGACACTGAGTGATGACACTGAGTGCTGACACTGAATGCTGACACTGAATGCTGACACTGAGTGGTGACACTGAGTGCTGACACTGAGTGCTGACACTGAGTGCTGACACTGAGTGCTGACACTGAGTGCTGACACTGAGTGGTGACACTGAGT